ATCCTCCTACATCTTTAAAAAAAGATCTGCTGGCTATACTGAAGGTATTAAATCTTAAACCCATATATGTTGCTGATGCTATGGCTAAAATATCATACCGTTGTAAATTTACCACCATATTATTACAAATTCAATCCTAAAGAATTGATTTATAGTACAGTGAAACTTCTCCATAACAGACACCAACAGGGTTGTATAGAGTTGTCGATAAATCAGTTGAAATGAAAAAGAGGTTTCTGTTAGCTTGGTCTTTAATTATACATTTTGGTATATATAAAATACTAATGTAAAAAAGGTAGGTACTTCTTCTTTAAAAAATCATTAATTTTGTTTTGTTTTTTGTTTTGAACATTCTTTTTGACAATTTCTGACTCAACATTTAGAATTACATCAGATATTTTTTGACTAACTATTGCATTACCTTTATGTATAAAAAATAATTCTAAATCTCTTAATTTTAAGTTAGCATCGTTTAACTTACAGTTGTAGTAAGTTCTAGTTTATCGTCACTCTCATTGTCTAAAACATTGGGCACCTGTTCGTTTTTTTTAAAATCACTAAAACAACTTGCACAACTTCAGGATTTCTCGTCAACATGTAGAAATCTTCAATTTTTTCATGTAAAAATTAAATAATTAATGATTAATTATTAAATGAATATGAATCATTTAAATTTTCTTAAATATGGATCTGTAAATGTAATTTTTATTGTTTTTGTGAATGTTACTTCAAATTCAATGAGTTTGTTTCAGGAATTTCCATGAAAAAGTTAAGTAAAATTTATTAAATATAAAGAAGAAATAATTAAAACCCCTTCAACTACATTTTGAAAAGACTAAAATTCTCAATGTACATTTTTAACGTTAAAATTTTGGTAGTAAAACTGCATTTGGAAAAATAAAAAGTTGATGAATGTATTCAGTTTTTTATGATCTTTCCAAATTTAGAATTACATTTTTAAAAATTTGATGTATAGGGTGTTGTTTTAGGGTGGGTCAAATTTTAATAATTTTTGTTAAGCCGAACCTGGATTTTGAAAGTTTTAATGTGTCGATAAATTGCCTTATAGGTGTAGATTATCTATGCCAAATAACAAATAAATATACCAAGTGATTCAAAAGTTATGATTCATGGAAAAAATGGGCCAAATTCAAAAAACAACCTGTAACCAGGGTTGCATTAAAGGTCAGTGGCGCCCTGGGCAAACCCAAAAGCAGCGCCCCCCTCATATATATAACTATTTTTATCTGCAAATCGTTTCCGTCTTCTGTTGCGTTGATAATTGACAGTCCATATTACAAAGAGCCAATTCTTTCTTTTCGTACTCATCAAAAGAGTCTCTTTTGCTCTTTAAACAAGTTTGTAGGGTTTGTAATCCTTTGTTGGCGGAAAGAAGGTCCAAAACTTCTTTTTGAAGGTTGTTGCTGGTCTTATCTACTCTTTCCAATATATCATTCCAAACTATGGCAAGAATGCTTGTTTCTAGTTGATAATTTTTTTTTTTTGCCTTTTTTTCCATATTTTAAAGGGTGTTGAGTTAGAAACGGATCAAATTGGCTTATTAGTTCAAGGCTACCCAAAAAGAGTCCATTGGATCTTGAGCCTAGTTTTTGATCTGCTCCTCTAAAAGGAAGCCCTCTGATTGCTAGAAACCGTATTACCGAAACTATTCTCGTCAACAGATCTCGCCAATACTTCACTTCTTGCACTAAATCTTCGACTGCCGAATTTTTCCTTCTCGATAGAAGGGTAAACATATTTTTTCTATAGTCAGCAGACTGTTCGTGGTATTTTACTAAATCATAACCATGTTTCCAGTCATTAAACCCAGTCGAGAACGTAGTAAACTTAGTTTCAGGCTGAAATACCTACTGTACACGGGATACAATATACTCACCCGATTGAACTTGAGTATAAGAGCCAATCTCGTTTGAAAGTTTCGCTATTAGTTAAAGTTTCAGAAAACAATTTCACACTGACATATTTTGCATCTTTATATTGCCGATCTGATCTAAATAAATCAGCTTCTACATTCTGTTTTATGCCAGAAGCTATAACTTTCTTCACTACGCTCTCTTCTTTCACATCCCATGTAGCCGGGTCGTCTAATGTAAAAGAAAATTTAGTTTAGTTAATTTACATGTAATAACTGAATAAAATTGAAAATCTGGTTGAGAAGATGTCGAGGGATTTGATGTTACCTTTACGCATTATGACTTCGTCTGTCTTTGAAATTTGATCTGTTTGTTCATGGTAAATCTCATAAATACTAGTAGTACACTGCAGGTCGTCAATTCGAACTGAGTCAACTTGAGGTTCGACGATGGAAGACTGGGACTGGTGTTCCTCCTCACTAGGTTCACTAGGCTTCTTGAAATACTGGTTAACACACTTCACTTTCTTTAAAACCGCTTCTTGAGTTTTTCTTTGAGCCAACCGCTTGCGGTTTTCAGCTCCACTAGGTTTTTTTGTGAATTTTTAGACTGTGAATAACACTTGTATCATAATAACACTTATAAGAAGATATGAGACACAGCACAGCGACAAATTATTACAAAAGACAATAAAACAACATACTACAAGATAATACTTCTATTATTGGTCCGCTGACTGCACTGTGAGTATTGACGAGGTTGTGACTTGTGACTGACGACTGTACAACTGGTAGAGGTGTAGGTGTGGTGATGATGGAGGGAGAGGAGAGGCGCGTCACCAGCTGATTACTGTAGTCCACCGCCCTAGTTAACACTGCTGCGTGCCCTGACTACACGAGGAAAACTGCTTTCTCTTCAATCACTCCTCTACTAGATCACACGTTTTAATCTAAAGGCGTATTTTGTTGTATTTTTTACATTCTCAACAAGGGAAAATCACTTAACAACAAGTTGAAGTTACCCATTTTAATTGTAGTCTTTGAAATCCCAACTGGTCAAAACCTATTTTCTTTCTCTTCCCTAGCCAGCGCGCCCCTTAACCACCGGCGCTCCTGGGCATCTACCCAGTCTGCCCGTTTATAAAAGCGGGCCTGTCTGTAAAGGTACCATTTGGGTAGGTGCGTCAAGAGACAAGCGACCACTGATGCGACCCCAAGGTCGAGTAGGACGACAGATGCATAAATGTTACGCTTGGTGCATTTCGCAAGCTTGAGAAGTGTCGCGCGACAGTTACAGGATAACCATTCGAGGAAACGATCAGCGTTGCCAGACCTACTGTTTTCACGTAGATCCACTGTTTTTGTCTCTAGCAAATTTTGTTCTTAATTTATTAAGTTTGCCTCATTCTTTAGCAAATGGTTAAAGAACATTTTCTCTAGCAAATTTTCTGCAGTAAAAGCAGCGTAATAAGCATCCACTACTCTAGGTTAGCTCCATAAAAAAAAACGTCAAGGTAATCATTGTTTTTATTTAAAATGAAACAAAGAATTAATAGGACATCATAAAAAGAACATGCACACTACAATTTTGAATTATCTGATTCAGACTGATCTAAAAGAAGTAGGTACCTATTATTTTTCATTGTTTTTTTTTTGTTTCCGTACGTTAAGTATATATTAAAAATGTTATTATTTGTGTTTATTCTTTGTTTACCTTCTAATTTGGGTCGAAAAAAGTTTTTATTTTTCGTTTCTTATATACTTGTTTTTTTATTTACTACACTGCAAATTTTAATTATTTCCCCCTGTATTAAAATCTACTGTTCAGATCTACGGTTTCTTTTATCCATACTGTTTTAAAATCTGGCAACGCTGCCTAGATCGAAAGAAATTTCCGACCGAATCACCCCCAAAAAAAAGCGATGCCGAGGACAGTGACCTCGAGTGCGATACGCAGCAAAGCTTTGCACCGAGAAGTGTTTCCAGGACGACACTTCTCGGTCGTGTCGCGCCGTGCGAAATGGTACCTTAACTCGGTTATAAAGGTACTATATGGGTGTTTTGTGATCCCCTTAGTGACCTCTATATAGGGTTAAATGTATGAACAAATATCTCTTATTGACTGGACCTTCTTGGAAGCGTTTGATAATTCAGAAGATGCATCCACATATTTCTATGGCAAGCTTTATAATGTTTTCGATCGTTGCTGTCCCAAATAAATATATATATATATATATATATAAGAAGTAGCTTTTCTATTTACGCGCCCCGGGACAATAATTTTCCATGACAATTTTATAAAAAAATTAAACCCCTTTTGATAGATATCACATTTCTAAAAAAAAAAACCAAAAAGGTTCTCAAGCAAAAACTCCTCCCTTTTGTGATGAACTTCTAAAAAAATAAAACTTCCTTACCTAAAGCTGCCGGACCTCCCCTTGTGCCGCTGCCGGGCCCCAATTTGTGCCCGGGCCCCAATTTGTGCCCGGGCCCCAATTTGTGCCCGGGCCCCAATTTGTGCCCGGGCCCCGGGAATTTGTCCCGCCAGCCTCCCCTCAACCGTCGGCCCTGGTTGTTCACTGATTAGGAATTTTTGGATATGAACTTTCTGCTTTATTTTCACCTGTACAATACACACTGTTAGAATATTTACCTATAATTTTGGAACACCCTGTATACACTGCACAACCAACTTTTCAAATTTGTGTACTACTTAATTTTTTTTATTATTTTTTGTCGAAAAAAAAACTAATTTGTTGTTTTGTAGATTGAAATCGAGGTATTTAATTATTAAGGAAAGAAAAGAAGAAAAGTATTTTAACCTTTGATTCATTTATTTAATTATTGATTAAATAGTTACTAAAGTTTAAAAATTTCTAGAAAAAAAAAATAGTTTGAGAATGCACGTAATGCGTGGGATGGATCTGTGAGTATTTATCTTACCGGTGTCTTCCCCAAAATCCGGTTTTGCGCACCATTGAGAGAGAATATCTTCACCGTTCCACCGTCGTCATTCAGTAATCGCATAATCACAGGTGACCTCAACCCGTGACGGTACGCCAATGCAAGCCCCTCTCTGTCTCTCACGCCAACTTGCGGCACACCTCAGCAAGGTAGTTTGTTTCGACTTTAGTAGAGTTAGTTAGATTAAAACCATTCTATAAACATTGGCTACGTGTCCACGTAACGATTTCTCACGAAAAAAACTGTTTCAAAGTCCCGCTAACAGTTACGCAACGAAATAGGCCTGTTTCAAATTAGCAGGATAATGTAAAAAAATTTATTACGGTCGTTCCGAGTTTCCACCTTGGCTCTACGTGTGTTTTTTGTAAACAATGTCCTAGGTATATCGATCTGTGTGACTTGTGTCAGTAACGTCATGCATTGCTCTATTATTGCTTGTGTTGTTTGTTGTGATTATTTTATGTTGTTGTGATATGATGTTGTTTTTGTGATATGGCGGAGATAAAGCCGTTGTATTCGACATGTGTTGCTGTTCTGGGATTTATTTGCTTTGTCGTCGGTGCTACTGCAGTTGGGATACCGATGTGGGGTTACTTTAGTACGCCTCAGGGTGAGTTCGATTTTAATTTTGATATGACAATGCGGAGGATGCTGAGAACTCTGATTTTGCGTGGAGCAATGTACAAATCCGTATGTACTATAACGGGCCACATCTACTCTAACAGAAAATCCAGCCGTGTGTTACTTAAAGGTAGACATGCAGGGCCGTCCTAAGATATTTGGCGCCAGTGGGTAACTAAAATTAATGCGCCCCTTTTAGTTATACAAAAAGCTATTATACTAAACAAAAATATAAAATTCATACAAAATAAAAAATCTATACATATGAACAAACCAAAACTTAAGTATTGTAAATAAAAATATTTATTTTGCCAGTCATATTTATTACCAAACTCCAAAACAAAGATATGCATACTTGCATACATACAGGGTGGGGCCACCGAATACTTCCCGCTTAGATCTTTTTTATATTGATGCAAAAAACAAAAAGATGCTCGTACACGTCGATTTTAGTTTTTTTTTCCCATAGCAGTATCGGCAGTGGACTGAATAACTTCTACAATTTAAATTGGGAAAGTACCGAAGATGACACATTATTGAAGAGGTAATTTGATGAAGAATTTGGCAACGTTTAATCTTAGCGCCCTCTAGCTTGATAAAAAACTGTTACGTGTGACACTTCATTTGAAAGGTAATTTTATTACTATTTCAATGCATCATATAACATTATTTTAAATTATATCTATATTACACTTGCAACAGGCTGAACATTAGATGAATGTTATGCGGTGCATTGAATTAGCAATAAAATTATCTTTCAAATGAAGTGTCACACTTTACAATACGTAACAGTTTTGTTATTAAGCTAGAGGGCGCCAAAATCAAATGTTTCGCAATAAATTGTCTCACAGTTAAATGACATTTTCTATAAAGTGCCTTCATTCTATATTTAACGAGATATTTAAATTGTAAGATGTTGTTCACCCTCCCTGCTCGAGGGTTAAGGTCAGGGTTGGAAACAACCTAAGAATTAAACCTAAAAATATAAGAAGGTTTTTAGGTCATTTAGATTTTTTGAGATTTTACAGGTGTTTAAGGGTTTTAGTTCATATGTCAATAGTTTTTATTAATAAACGAAGAAGGGTAACTGCTCAAATGTGGTGTCTTACCTATTATTAATAAAGTTAAACAAAAAATACAACCAATACTTAAAAAGTAGTTTTATTCTATTAAAAAATCACATTTTGCAAAAAACTAACAAGTGAAAAATGAATAATAGTAGTAGTGCAACAAAAGGATATGGACATTGTACTCAAGTTGTATATTATATTTTTTCTACGACCCACTAACGAAAATCAAAAATAAAAAAAAATATTTTAGGTTATTAAGACAAAATAATTTATAAATTTTACTAATTTATGTAATAAAATACTTAAACATGAAAAAAATGTAAAAAATGATTTTATTTAATTAGTCCCTATCCCAAATTCGAACCCGGGCTTATCGAGTGGAAGGCAGACTCATCTCCAATGCCAGTTTAAGGATTTTAGTTTTAATACTCGCAATTAAATTACATAGTTTCATGCAAGTAGTTTGATTCAATTTTTTTGCGCACCAAATATAAATAAAAATCCTATTATTTATCGATTCGACACAAAAATAACTAATTTTAATGTATATTTAATCTCAATAACTAAAAAATACTGACAGTTAGTTTGATAGAATTGTCACTTATTTAAAATTTTAAAAATAATATTAGTTAAGTGTCCAAAACATGAACTGTGATTGGTGAATTTAGTTTTTTTGTAGTGTAGGTACTCACTACCTAGAATTGATATAAAATATATTCCTTGATTGAACACAATAGCACACTTTTTCGTTTTGTAGTCTGTGCGTAGATTAGCTAATATCCATGTGGGTGTTAAAAAATGTTTTTTTGTTAATATTATTAATATTAATATCAAGAACTAAAATTGCAGAATTTTCATTTTTTCAAAACACCTAAAAACCTCGCTAAAAACCTAGGTGCAAAAAACCTTTTTCTTTGTATTTTTTTTACATCAATACGAAAAAACCCAAGAGGACAGTGTTAGGTGACCCATCCTGTATAATATTTTCTATTTTATTTAATACAGGTTATTTGGTTATTTTTGTCTTGTCATGAAAAGATTTTAATTAAAAATAACTAATAACTAAATAATTAATAATGACCTAAGTTGAAGTCAAAAACACCAATTAATAATTAATAATTACAAAAAAAATATGACACTAATAAAAATTGCCACCATAAAAGGCTTGCGCTCGGAGCGACAGACCTGTATACCAGGACCGTAGCCAGAGGGGGATACCTCGGGGGACACATATGGGCAATGGCCTACCTTAAAAATACCTACTGGGTCTTCAACAATACCGAAAACCCACGTGTCCAAATCGTCATGACAGCGATTAGTGAAAATAAAAGTGAAAATCCCTCGGAAAATCCCTAGATGTGAGCCAGTGCCGTAGGTATTTTATTACAAAATAGATCTTCTTTTTTTATGGTCTGCAACTATGAGAACAAAATTTAGTTAGGTAACTGTTAGAATTACAACACAAAATCATAATATTAATAATTAGAGGTGCTTTACATTATTGTATTTTAATGTTAGAATTTGATATTTTAATTAGATTTAGTCAAATGCATTAATCTAACTTTTTAAAATTATGATATATTTAACATAACCTTAAAAACCTTGTTAAAAACAGCTATTTATCGAAAAGAATGATAAACTGAAATATGGTTCGTACTAGTTGTTGCTACTATTACAAAAAAAAAACCTTTACCAGAATGTTATGGACAAAAAATGTTATGCGTTAAAATATGAATAATATTAAAAATTATTTACTTTAGATTGACTCTAAGCTATTTAGCTACAGCTGAAACTTTAAATACGATTGGCAGGAGACTGGCAATATTTGGCAATTATTGCAGTTTAAGTAAACAAATTTAAAACTTACTAGAATTGTACCTGGGCAATGGGAAATAATAAATATTTTTTGAAGTTTGTCCTATTATTTATTTGTTACAGGGTTTAAACCATTTACAAGATATATTATGTTACTTATATGTATACAAAAAATTATTAATGTAGCAAGAACACATTTGTTTTATCTTACATATCTCACTTTAAATTATAAAGGCATACCTATTAACAACTATTTTATTTAAAAGCATATTCAGTAGTAATCGGTAGTACACAAACCGAGGGGCAAATCACTCCCGCAATACGTGTACAAAATGTCCGCAATCCCATTGAAAATCGCCGCAGTCTCATCAAAATCAGTGACAATCGCTAAGAAATCGCCGCAGTCGTTCCGAATTCGCTCGCAGTCGTTCCGAATTCCCTTGCAGTCCCCCGAATTCTCTACCAGTCACTGAGCAATCACTAGCAATCGTTAAAATCGCGCGCAGTAAGGTGACATTAACCAATTAGCCATTGTTGATGTAGGGTGCTTTGGTGCTTTGATTAAGCCATCTAAACCATTTTGTGTAAAGAAATTGCAGTTTACATTTTGAGGCAAGAACTATTAAGTTAAATTTACATTTTGGAATTTGAAGGTTTTTTTAGGATAAATTTAGACACTAAATCTACTTGTATACAAAATTTTACAAGGTGGTCAAAAATTGTCCCTTTTCATCTAGTTTTTTTTTTTAATGTATAACAAAATTGTTGGTATTTTATGGGGGTTGGGGTGATACACGTTTTAATTAGGGTTTTAAATGTATTTTTACTTTCCTATCTGTTTACAGATAAGGAAAGTATAGGAATCATGATTTTTTTCGACCTCGAATTTTCGACGGTTTTTTATGTTTTGGGGTATCCTGAATCTGTTTTGACTATTTTCGCGATGATGTCTGTGTGTGTGTCTGTATCCTCGATAACTCATGAACGGATACAAAGAAAAACACCAAATTTTAAACTTAAGCTTTATTCCGGCGTCCAATTAGCTGATTAGATTTTGGGCAGAGTCGGAACATTTGAAGGGTACTTTATAGTCATCATTTTTATATTTTATGGAATATATCTGTTATTTACGTTTGGAGAAGAAATTTTTTCAAATAAAAGTTACTTACAATATTATTATCTATAATTTGTTCTATACAAAATTTGGTCCGTATTCGAGAAATTTGACAAAATGTAAAAAAAAATATTTTTTTATAAAAATTGTTCAAATAAAAGTTGTTTGTAATATAATTCTCTATAATTTTTGCCCTATACATAATTTCTCTAAAATGGACCGTATTCGAGATATTTAAGAAAATGTGTAAATTTCGAATTTTAAAGAAAAATCAAAAACGGATAAAGTAAAAAACATTAAATTTTAAAATTAAGTTTCCATATATGATGTAGATAATGAAAAGATCATTTTTTATGGATTGGAAGATCTTAATATAAAGGATTTTCGAAATTACTACACAAAAAGTGATTCTGATACCTCATTTTTAAACATAATTGTGAACAACAAAAAAATGAAGGTAAAAAAATCAGTTCTTTGTTGGTTATTTTCCACTGAAAACGGGCGCTTGTCAACTGATAGATTATCTCGTGTAAAAGGAACATCCTCAGCAGTACTAAATAACAAAAAAAAAAACAAGTCCAGAAAAAACAGCTAAAATACCAAATAACTACAATGACAAAGATGTAACAGAAAGTGAAAAAACTACCGGTGAAAACACTTTGCTCCAGAAAAATATCAATGGCATTTTAATTAGGAACGAACAATATTACGCAATTCTTTACGAGTCGTGGTACATATGTCGGATATTTCAAATAATTGATGAAACCACTAGTAAAATAAAAATTTTAAAATCTGAACTTGAAGAATATTTATGGCCAAAAAAAGACGACATTCAAATTGTTAAAAATAAATTAATATTTTACGGACCCATCAATTCAATTGGATCTGGTCCATTTAAACTAGAAACAAACATCAATAAAATTTGTAAACGTCTAAAAAAACACTTTTATGAAATTTTTAAATAAAAAACCTCCAATTACTTAATTACTT